GACTGATTTCTTCACATTCTCCAACTGCAGTTTTGTTGTGTTTTAATTATTTCTTGCTTTGTTTAATTGAGCTTTTTAAATTTTCTCTGGGTTTAACTGCAAAATGAATATAATTTTGTAAAGTGTTTTGGAGTCTCCTTTTCTGGCTGAAGAGTTTGTACAATTCTTTAGATATATAACTAAACAAGGGCTAGGCCCGTGATGGCGAACCTATGCCACGCATGCCAAAAGTGGCACGCAGAGCCATTTCCCCCGGCACATGAGAGCTTGCCCAGAAGACCCCCACTGCACATGCGTGCGCACCGCCACCTGACAGCTGATTGTCAGGTATCTGGTGCGCATGCGTGGGAGGGGTTGTGGATGCACAGAGATGTGCAGCCACACTGGGGATCGTGGGCGCATGCGTAGAGACGCGCGGTGTGCAGGAGTGATCGCATGCGCATGCATGCAGCATGCACGCGGCAAGGGGAATTGTGCGTGCAAGGGCAGATGTGCAGCACACTGCAAGGGGATCGTGCGCACAGGCGCAGGGGGTGTGGGGTAGGCAGCACGCATTGCCTTCTGGGTGCTGGCACATGAGCGCGAGCACATGTGCAATTATCAGCACAGGAGCTGAAAAAGGTTTGCCACCACTGGGCTAGGCTCTTGGTTAGAAATGTTTTTCTGCTTTGCATTTTGTAATTATGAAATAAATTACTTGTCCTCACGTTTAGGATAAACATTGAGCAATACTAATGGAGAAATTTCAGTATCAGTATCAACAAATGCAAAGTAATGATTCAAAATATTTAGCTACTGAAAACAATTAATTAGATTAAGCAATTTGGTTTCTATAACTTTGAAGATCTGAAACTGCTTAATGGGGGGGGGGGACTTGTATTGCCTTATGCATTTTACTCATCAGTAGTAGCAATTGTAATAGCAATTTTTGTTTTAGTATCTGCAACATGTGGCACACTAGAAAAGCCTCTGATTGTGTCAAGCAGATTGTTATGAGAAAAGGCATTCTTTTAGTAACTTGATCCCAAGTTTGCTAAAAGCAGTAAGTTGGCCAGAGAATATCTCTCCTATATCTCTAAGATCTTTCTGTCCTATGCTTATGCTGGCTTAAATCGTCTGCCTTCTTGGCTGCCATACATTGACTTTATTACCTGAATCAAGTATTTTTGAAAGGTCATTCCATTCAGGTACTTCAATAATTTTTTTATGTACAACATAATCAAAGGGTTTATTCAGTAGTTAAATTTATGTTTATGTGCACATATAAATATACATTAAATTAAACTGAAGCACCAAAATGTGCATAGATATAAGTGCAACAAGCAGGCTTTACAATAAAAATGTCTTCCATAAAAATGTCTTCCCTGCTGCCCCGTTGCTCTCTAATTTTGTGTACCTTTACCTTTTTTGGAAATGTTAAGTGAACTTATGATAATTAGTGGTTCAACTACAGAGGCAGTCTCTCTTTAGCAAAGGGGCCAAATGTAAACAGTCAGGTTTCTCTGTAAAAAGTAATGTGCATCAGTCAAAACACATAGCCGGGCTCCAGGTGACTTAAGGATGAATACAGGTAGTCCTCGACTTACAACAGTTCATTTAGTGACCATTTGAAGTTACAATGGCATTGAAAAAAGTAACGTATAATTGTTTTTCACAGGACCGTTGCAGCAACCCCATGGTCACATAATCAAAATTCAGAGGCTTGGTAAATGACTCATATTTATAATAGTTCCAATGCCCTGGGATCATCTTTTGCTCTTCCGACAGGTGAAATCAATGGGGAAGCCAGATTCACTTAACAATTGTGCTACTACCTTAACAACTGCACCTTAACAACGGTGGCAAGAAAGGTCGTAAAATGGGGCAAAATTCACTTAACAACTGTCTCACTTAGCAACAGAAATTTTGGGCTCAGTTATGGTCGTAAGTCGAGGACCTTTACGGTACTTTAAAACTGCAGCAGGAAAACACGCCTGGAGGTCACATTAGTAATAGAAGTGGGATCGGAGCAACCATTGTGCATTCCTTCTGTAGAAACAATGTTGCACATCTGTTACGGTGACAGAAAAACTGCCCTGTGAATAAGCCCTTTTTTTCCTTAAAATGTTAATAAATAGAACTTATCATCTGATGAAGAGTTTTTAGAAAGTGAAGTGTTTCTAATTGCTATACGTGTCAATTAGCCGAATACAGTTTTGCTTGCTTGGATTTTCTCTCATTGTGGAACCACTCGGATGCATTAGGATTCCCAAACAGCTCAAGCTACAAGTAACCAAATCACAACATATTCTGGGGAGAAGCAAATCTGGCATGACTTTGGATTATCTTTCCTGGAGCCAAGGCATATTTTACATTTTTTTTTGTTGACAGGTAGGGCTTTTAGGTGCTCAATTATGACTTAGAAAGGGACATTTAGACCAACCAGTCCAAGCCCTTTGCTCTGTTTCTGACCGGGGAGGCAAGGAATGTTGAGGTCCCATCCCCTAAGGAGGTACATCTGGCAGGACCCATCTGGCAGGACTCCATGTTGGCTCCATTCTTTTGGAATATTATCACTTGAGAAATTAGTCTGACCCCTACTATGACACTTTTCATAAGGCTCTAAAAACTTGGTTTTGTAAGCAGGCCTGGGGAATCCAGAAGGGGGATGGAATCTATCAAAAGGCTTATTTGACTATCTGTTATATTTTCTGTTATATTTTTTATTGATTGTAAGCTGCCTATAGTTTATCTGTTGTATTTTCTATACTGGGTTTTTATTGTTTGAAAGCTGCTTAGAGTTGCTGAGATGGAGTAGGAGGCTCTATAAATTTTATAAATAAATATTCATGATGGCAAGCATATCCAACACTCTTTCCCAATGGGACAATATGAGAAAACTTTCTATGTTGAAACTATCCGTTGTAAATCCTGGGTGCTACAGGATCATTAAACTGAAATGTGCCACTGGTGAATTTGCCCGCTTCCCTGACTACATTTTGGTACAAGAACAAGACCCGAGTAAATATTTCAGAATGATTTCCCCAGTTCATTTGGACTTATTTTCCACTCTATTCAAACATTAATTCTAAAACTATTATAGTCTTTTAAAAAGTGCAGAATTATGATTTTTAACGTACAAAATATGCCCCAACAATGTGTTGCTTTGGAAATGAGCATGGACATGTTCCCTGCTCTATGAATTGTCACAAAGAGCATTTTATAAGGACATTTTTTTGAAAGCCACAAATCTCATTTGGAAATGGGAGTTATTCAAAAACAAATGAAGTCAAAATGTTGTCCTTTTTATACTCCCCATTCTCCAAGAGTTGAAAGTAGAATCCATAGGAAGACTGTCCCTTCATTTTATTATCAAACCCTTAAAAGTTGGGAGGGAAATAGAAGACTAAGTCAAATGACTGAAACAATTCTATTTTATTACAGTAATGTTTCTTACGGTGTGTCTTAATGTAACAGCTGCAAATACATCAATTATTTTTTTTTAAATAATGATAAACATCACTAAAGTGCCAGCTGATGTGAAGGCACTGGAAATCACTGTAATGTGTTGTAGTCCCATCTCAGGCATAAAGCCAGCTAAATAAACTTGAGGCAGACATCTTATTTTAGTCTGGGAAGAAGGCAAGTTTAAATGTTTCCCAGCAACACTCCTTGAGAAGACTCCTCCGTGCCTTATATCATGACCACATCACTAATTAAGAAGTACTACAAAGATCATTTTTAGAACACCTATCAAGAACTCTGAATGAAGACCGAATGCACCTTGTTTGTCATATTTTTGCATATGCCTAATAGACTGCCATGGTAAAAATTGAACTACATTGGATACCTACTAGAAGAAAGGGAAACCAAGGCCAGCCTTGGTAAGCTTGGCACCAAATACTTAAGAAAAATCTTAAGTTTATTGATAGCAATAGCAACAGCACTTAGACTTATATACCGCTTCACAGTGCTTTACAGCCCTCTATAAGCAGTTTAGGGCAGTGATGGCTAACCTTTTTGGCACCGAGTGCCCAAACTGCATGCGCACATCCCCAAAATACAATGTGTATGCATCCCCCATGCATGAGCCCTGCCCCACCCAAGCACGCATGTCCCCCATGCACATGCCCTGCCCCCGAGTATGCGTATGCATCCCCCACATGCACCCCCCGCATGCCCCTGCCCGCCGTGCATGCGTGGCAGAGACCGGTGGGAGGCACACGTGCATATGCGTGGCGGAGCTGAGCTGAGGTGACGGCTTACATGCCCAGAGAGGGTTCTGCATGCCACCTCTGGCACACTTGCCATAGGTTCACCATCACGGGTTTAGGGTCAACGTATTGTCCCCAACAATCTGGCTCCTCGTTTTACTGACCTCGGAAACAGCCTGAAAACTTGCTAACCAATGTACTCTGCACAGGGGAAGAAGCAGGAGGCAGGAGGCAAGGGCAACTGTAAAACAGCAGGGACTTGTGCCACTAATTGACAGTGATTCAAGGGCCCCCCAAAATTAAATAAATATAACCTATACAAACAAAAGCTCCATAATGTTTAAGTTTAAGAAACAGTGTTTTACGTGAATATTGTGTATTTAAAATACTGTAACACTAGTAGATTATACGTGTTATACCGTTATATGAGAACCCAGATTGTTGGGGGCAATATGCTGGCTCTGTAAACCGCTTAGAGAGCCCTGAAAACTAGTATATAAGTCAAAGTGTTATTGCTATACAATCCACATTTTCTTGCTTCCACTTCTTGTCTTCCAACTCGCTCATGCCTCTTTTTTTAAAAACAAGAGAGTTCATTTCTATGGCCGAGAAGAGAGAGAGAGAGAGAGAGAGAAAAAAAAAGCTGCTTTTCTGCTAAACGAAACCGTGAGGAAAGCCCACGTAGCCATCCGCCCATACAAAACGCCCGGCCCTGACCCGCCTCTTGCAGCCTCCTCGCCCCGGCCACTCTCCGCCCCGGCCTCCTTTTCCTTCCCTGCAGCCTCCGCGCGGCTCGGCGGAAGTGGCTTCCTTCCGAGTCAAGGCGTCAAAAGCGAGCCGCTGCCGGGTTAGATAGAGGAGGCGTGTGGAAGGCGGAGACTGGCCGGCCGGCCGGAAAGGGTGAAGATGGCGGAGAAAGAGTGAGTGGAGCTCGGAGCCTCGGGGATGGGGTGGTTGGAGCGGAATGGGATATGCGGCGGGAAAAAGAAAGGAGGAGAGGGCCAAAAGGACACGGCAGAAGGGTCGAGGAAGCCCCCGGCAGCCTCGGTATCCTTCGGGGGAGGGGTGTGTGTGTGTGTGTGTGTGTCACATCTGACTTATGCCTACGAGACATACAATATGACCATCACTTAGCAGTTGGGATGGGGAGAAGGGTCCGGGGAGGGTCGGCTCGCCCTGGTTCTCGGCAATGGACGCCGGAGAGTGTCGGGCCAAAGGCGGTGGCGGTGGCCCGGGAGAGCCAAACCCGCTCGGGCAGACAAGCCGGCGTCATCCCGGAGAGTGAATTACGTTGTCTCGCCGAGGTTGTCTGGGAGCGCCGCTCGGAGCTTGTTTTCCAAGGAGATTGAGGCGAGGTTTTTTGGCTTCTCGCTGCCTGGTCGGCCCTGGTCGTAAAGTGATTTTTATCCTTATGCGTCTTTGAAAAGAGGGCAAGGGACAGTGGTCTTTAACTGCCTTTTCCCATCTGGACCTCACCGAGGTGCATACCTGCCCCGCCTTTCTTTGGGTCAGGTTTCCCCTCCCTCAAATGTCACCTTCATTTCAGGAATGCAGTACAGGTGGTCCTTGAGTTACGGCCCAAACTTAGGTGGCTAAGTGAAACCTTTCTTTTGCCCTATTTTTACGACTTTTCTTGCCCCCGTTGCTAAGCGGACTGTTGCATTTGTTGAGTTAGTTAGCGTGGTTGCTAAGGGAATCTGGCTTCCCCGTTGGTTGTCCGAAGGGCGAAAAAGCTTATCATGTGACCCCAGGACAATACAACCGACATAAATATGAATCACTTGCCAAGCATCTGAATTTTAATCATGTGACTGACCATGGGGATGCTGCAACAATCGTAAGTGTTAAAAAGGGTCATAAGTCACTTTTTTCAATGCTGTTGTAACTTTGACCTGTTGCTAAATGAGCAGTTGTAAGTCGAGGACTACCTGTAGTCTGAGTTGCTCTTCAATGTGCTGGTCTTAGTCTTTTTCTCCTTACTCCAAAATCATCAGTGGACACCTTTGGGGTGTATAAAATATGTCAGGCTTTGTCACCTATTCCTTTGGAGACAAATCAATTGACTGCCCTGATTTGAAATGATGCGTGGAAGAAGGAAAGAGTTCAGGAATAGGAATAGCTATTTCTACCCCTGTATAATTTTCTGCCCGCTGATGGAGAGAAAAACTGGTAAATGCAAGGACCAGTCTCTGTTAAACCTCAGGGCTGACTTATGTTCTCTGTTACAAGACTGAATGATTTATTCTCTTTGTATTTCACTTTTACTCTGAAGAGTTCAATTTGCTTTACGAAACGAAACTTATTCCATTGCTTCGGGGTCCTGGAGTGGATTAGGAGAGGAGGGGGTAGGACTGCAAAGGAAAGGAAAATGGCAGCTATCAGGATTTCATTTATGTGATACTGGATTCCTTCCATTGTTGACCCACGTGCTAGCCAGACCATCTACTGAAAGCTATTCTTTGCATTATACTTTTTGCACATGAGTTCCTAAAAGGATTTGGAATTGGTGGGTATAGCGGTCATTGCTTTCTATAATTGTACAGAAGTTTTGATTGTTTCTAAAATTATATTTATGGCTTTTTGAAGCAAAAAACTTTCCAAAATTACCCCCCCCCCCCCGCTTACATATTTATTTTAAAGGTTTTTTTAAAAAATACATATTAGGCCTGTGCCAAAAATCTCAGATGGACTGTGTTTCTTTGCCCTTCACTTTAGTGGAAATGTCTTCTGCGCATGTGCAAACAGGAATAAAAAGACTGCCAAAGCCTTAAAAATAACTACTGCAGGACTTAAGCGCGGGGGTGCTTCATTTTATAGAAATGTTTGATGCCTTGTCAAAGACATAAAAAAACCTGACCCTTTTAGCTTTGTTTATTATGCTTCAGATATCATCTTTCAACTATAACTATCTAATGTTTTATCACCAATTATTTGGTCTTTTTACTTAAGGAATAAAATGGTTGAGAAGCAAAATAACTTTTTGACTAGTAGAACTTAAAACTCTCCATTGGAAATCGTCTGGCTCTCTGCATTTAAAAGCATGCACTATTAAATACCTGTTGAGATAGAACAACCAGATAAGTAACTGAAACTGCCTTAGGATAAATTATCTGTATTTCCCAGAACTGAATGGATATTGCCACTAGCATTCTATTTTGTCATATTATGAACATGGTAATTTAATGAGTCAGCTGTGGGTGATTATCTAATAGGTCTACTCTGCCTTCTTCTTTTACAGAATAATCCTTCCTTACAAATAGTCCTCATTTATTGACCACTCATTCAGTAACCATTCAAGGTTACAACAATGCAAAAAAAAAAAAAATATTTTAGGGCCATTTTATGAGTATTTATGATGTCCCGAGCATTCTCTCAGTCACGTGATTGCCATTGTCACTATGCATGCTCTTGTTCCTGACCTGTGATTCCCCACCCACCCACTCCTTGTAGAAAAGAGAGGAAGGGATTACAAGAAAGGGAGCTGTTTGCTCTTCTACACATTGAAAGCAGCATCCTGTGTTTTATAATATAATACAGTAACTTCATGCAGGATGTCTAATAATAGTGAAATAAAACATTATGTCTTAGTGTCATGTATGAATTTAGCCAAGGATATCTGTCATATGTATTGGTAGATAAATGTCTCTTCCATCCACCTGGGATTTTAGTTTGTGTACTAAGAAATTAGTTTTTTTTTTTACTATTTGTAATATGATTGCAGTTCATGAGTGCTTTGAACATGTAGCATTCAGGATTGCAAAGTAAACCTTTATTCTAAGCCATTTAAACTTTTTTAGACCACTAGTTACATAAATATTTTCACAAGAGAGCTTAAAGGTGTTACATCAGCACAGTAGAATTCTTCCTTATCTTTGTGCAGTCAACCAAATTTTGTGCAATATTAATGCATTGCATAAGAATAACAAATTAATGCTGATATGTGTTAGCTAATAAACCTTTGGCACAGTGTCAGGAATGTCAAAATGGTATTGGATTATAAGTATTTCAGTACTTACATTTATCAAATCTAATATATTTGAATAACTCAGTTGTGTCCTACTAATTAGGGTAATTCTTTATATGGAAGTGAGTCACAATTGAATTTATCACACAATGAATGCCTGGAATTTGAAGCCTTGGAACTTTGTTTTGTTTTTGCATGAATAATTTTATAAGCCCATAACTATTGCAAACTGATTACAAAAGGAGAACCTATTATAATGCAAGCAAAAAATAATTCTACATCCAAATTTGAAAGTTGCCTGTTTCCACAGTGGATTTTAAATGAAGAACTTACCTTTTCAAGTTCAGTCAATTTTACAAGCCATGTTTTTTTTAACTAAAGATGTAATCAAATGTACAAATTCAACAATTCTGAACAAGGACATTAACATAATAATTACAACATAGAAAGCATATAAAAACAGTTCATATAAAGAGTACCTGCTTTGGAATGTGAAAATTAAAAGTGACAAATACCTGTTTTTAGCAAGCAGATCATTTCCAAAGATGCAACTAAAATGAACTAATGGAAAGTAACTAGGGGAATTTTGCAGATCAAGATGCTTTTTGTTTGAAATGCTAAAAGTGGTAGGAATAAGGTCAGTCAGCACAAGTGACTGGGAAGATCTCTTCATGACAATTCATTTAAGTTTGTGAAGTTCAGATTCCAACCTTAGAAACATACATAAATCATTGTTTATTCAACAACCTATTTTTAGTTGCCTCAGTAATTCCATAGGAGTATTAACTTCCATGTCAATTGTTCGATGGTCAGTAGAGATCATATTCCACATTTTTCTTTTCTTTTGTATTCCACTGTCTGGAAGGAGCACATTAATAATTTAAATGTTAACTGAGAAAGAAGATGCTTAAACAGATTACTGTTTAAAGCCTGGTAAATTACGGTTATTTGAAGGTTAGAAGCTGAGAGGCAGAGATACAATCTGAAGTCATATCCAGAGGCCTGTTCCTGTCTGGGACACTGGTGTCAAGTGTGCTCAGAGAAAGTATAAGACTTGTAATTTAAAGCATACACAGTTGAGTATGGATACACTTTCAAAAATGTTTCAAAAAACAGGAATCCCGGAACTCAACAACTATGCCCAGCAAAGTGACATGAAGTCATTAGAATGGTCTTGTTAGTGCTATGCATATCTTGGTACCAAGAAAACAAATAATGCCTGGTAAGAGTTCAGATGGGCAACTCAGTTCAAACATTCCATATAACTCTTAACATACATATTCATTGTTCTTCCTTCCAGTTACTCTAACCCAGGGACGAGAAACTCATGGCCCGCGGGCTGCATGCGTCATGCATTGGCCACGCCCACCCTCGGTTTAGCAAAAGGGAAAAGTCATGATACGTCACATGATGACAACGTGACGCCGCAAGTTTGACACCCCTGCTCTAATCCTATTAATCAAATAAAAGAAGTACAAGTGATGCAATTGGCTGACATTATGGAACGAATTTGGCTTTCTTTACTGTTCTTACCACTGTGGTAGCAGTACCTGGTCAACATTGACTGATTAAAAAAAAAGCCTTAAGCATGATTGAATCTTATTGGTATTTTAATGGGAAGCCAGGAGGAACTCCCTGGGCTTGAAGGATTGGGGATTTTTTTTTTAAAAAAGCCTAGAAAATGTAGAAGCAGGTACTTAGGTAATGCTTGCCCCTCCCCCCCAAAAAAGGGACATGGATATGTCTATATAATCAGGAATCCAGCTTGCTTCAAATGATACTTTTATTTGCTTAGCTATTCCTATAGACAGGCAGTAATCTCAGAATTTGTTTTCATAATGAAGAAAAGATTGAATAAATTGTGTAACAGCATGAAACTGTTGATTACTAAAAGTAAAAGTTTGAAGTACCATTGTTGTTTTCTAAGCTGCTTTTATTCATTTTATTTATTAATCACGTTCATATACCCACAATCTCCTTCAAATGGCACTCTTTTATAAAATAGCAAGCAAAATATAAAATTTGGTTACAGTAATCTTATATTTCTATTAGTAAATTTAATCCTAAGAGTCAGTTTGCTATAGCGATTAAGGCACCAGGCTTGTATCTGGATGTGAAGAGTATACAGGATGATCTTGACAGAATGAAAAATCAAGGCAACAGATAAATGGGGCTTAAGCCCATAAGAGTGAAATATATGAAAACATCTCAGATAGGCACCTCAGATAGCCTCCCTCCATTTCTCAGGAAGATAAAAGAGGGAATAAGGGAAGCATATTTAGATCTTGTTAATATATTCGTTCTAATAAAATATTTTTTTGTTTGGTGTGGAGCCTGTTTCTTGGTCTGGTCTACCCTGTAGAACTGATACTAGGAGATTGAGTTCTTGTTCTGCCAATCATTCTCTTGACAGCCTTAGGAAGAAGGTAAGGGCAAACCACTTTTAAAAATCTCCCTAAGGAAGGAGTCCACATTGAATCAAAGACACACATACAAACCTGCAAAATAAACTACTCTTCACAGTCTGATGTTTTCTTTGCGTTGGATTTTATTTTACAAAAACCCAAGTCCCAGCTAGGAATTTGGAGACTAATAAATGATTTTAAAATTTAAAACTAATAAATTTTAAGTCTAATAAATCTGGAGGATACCAAATGTATTGTATTGGGTCAAAACCAAAGTGAAAATCCATTTAAAATAACCATTTGCTATTATAAAAGTATCAGAACCTTCCCCCCCTTTTTTATGAGCCCAAAGCAGCTTTAACAATAGGTTCTAAAATTCCAGTAAGCTTTGAAGTTAATAGCAAATGTCTTTCATTTCATGGATTTGTGCTATACAGGAAGGTGTTGATTAAGCCCCTTTACTCCTCCTTCAGTACACTCTTTAATTCTTGCACTATAGAGTGTAACCTTGACAAATTAAAGCAAAACTAAAGTTTCATTGTCTTTCCTTCATTGGACTCCTTCAGTTTATGAGAACAGAAATGCTTTGTTTAATTCTGGGAAATGTCTAGAAATATGTTTTTGATTAAAACGGCATTTTTTTCAGGGTTCATTATGAATTAAAAACATGGTAACATAAACATTTCTGTGTCCTGTATCTTGTGATACATTATATAAATCTAGTATAATTCAGGTTTCATGGTGTTTTATTTTTTTTTCTCGTTGTAAAATACTGTTAGGCTAAAATTGCAGTTGTGTCTCTTCCAGAGCTTTCCTTTTTTCTTTCTAACTGAAGATTGGAAACTGAAGTAATATACAGCAGATCCTTATCTCAATATCTCAAAGCTCACCTATAAAGACAATGTTCTCAAAAGAAAGCTACAGTAGTCTATTCCCATTCAGGATCTCAGGTTGCTTCTCTTCAATTCTATCTCTGCCTTACAGACGCACACATTTATTTCATGATATGTCCTTCAAATAAATATTATTCCCTCCAAACAGACTGAAAAACTAATTAAAGTTCTGCAGGCTATGTACGTATGTTTCTTCCACTGACGCCCCATCCCAAGCCTTCTTAAATCAGACCAGTAGATTAAATCTTAAACAGCCAAAACTTTCTTGAAATATTTTTAAAAAGATTCTAAACTTCAGTTGTATATCTGTTTCATTTCTGCTTTGTAATATTCAGCCTTGAACAAATAATATCTACTTTTATTTTGAATTCCCATGACTTTTTTAATCTTTATTTTGCACTTTTAAAAACATTTCTCCACAATTCTGCAGCCATAGGTTCGCCAACACGGCTCTATAGTAAATGCTCTCAGTGTACTATATGATAACAATACATCTAAAATTAATACATCATGTAAACTAAAAATATCAGCTAAAAGTGGTAGAGAGGCTGCATTCACACATCTAATTAGAAAGTGCTTTCTTAGTGAAAGTAAAGAGATAGATAAAAGTGTAGTAATTGATAAAAATGGAATTAATGTAAGAGGAAACCCAGATCAGTTCTTTTGGTTATACTATTAGTACTGTTATTATACCATTACTATTGCTATTAGTTTGCATGTTGAGATTTATTGCCAACATATGTTGGTCGTATTTTATTTACAAATAATGCTCTGCCAATGCACTGTTATTCAAAAATGTTTCTGAATGTTTATGAATGTTATTCAAAAATGTTTATGAATGAAAATGTATTTTTTAAAAAAAGAAAGTGCGTAAACTATTGTTTGCTGGTTGGACTCATGCAATCATAAATCTATTAACAATTACTGAGTTCAGAGAAATTATAGTTTGGCTTAACAACATACGTGGTCTGGACTAAAATCCAGGAGTTCCTTTTCCCCCCAAATCCCTGCAAAACAAAAAAAACAACCAGCTAAATGATCCCAAGTGGAAAATGAAGAAGACCCAAGAGAATAAACAGGCTCTTTACCATTGTTGACCAGGTGGCACATGTGACAGAACATATTTGTGAAGGGAATTCCATTCAGGTGAGCTACTGCTGAGAAGTCTTGCTCCCAAATCATTAGGTTTTGAGTGCCAATCATTAGATTTTGAGTGCCAATCATTAGATTTTGATTGTATTTGGAGGAAGCCTATAATGATGCCCTCAAAACCTTATTCTGTGCCAGAATTACCATATTTCTGGATTGGAATGGAGTCCGTCAGAGAAAGAGTTAAATCATCCAAATTATTTATATTATATATGGTAATCTTTTCATATCTTACCACTTCTCCATAATCAAACTGCAAAAGCCTAGCATTCAGTCCTAATCAGCAAAAGTCTATTAATTGCTACCAGAAATATTAGCATATATATTTTAATCTTAATTAAAAATATCAATTCTATATCACTTTCTGTAAAACGTAAAGCAAAAGAAATCTCTCTCCACTTATAAATAAATCTTTAAAGCTTCATCATTCAGTCCTGGTCAAAAAGAAATCCCACTAATAGCTACCAGAAACCACAGCATATAATATTTTAATTCTGATCAGACACATTCATTTTGTAAACCTTTTTGTTTTTTAAGAAGCTTGATCTTTAGTCCCATCAAATAGTGTTCCCCAAGTTGATTCCTTATCGTTTTCTCTTTGTCTCTTTTCCAGAACAGCTTTAGAAGTTTCTTTGTGTCTCCTCCTGGAAAGAGTTTCCTCGGTTTCACACATTCCTTTTGTAAATCCAATGTAAGAAGGCTTGCCAAGTCCCTCTTCTGAATTCATTATTTATATGTCTTCTTTAATTTCCAAGATATAAATTGGTTTCATTTGTAAATCCATTTTGGCATTGTTTTACATAGCGCTCTTACACTCTGGCATTTTAAAATCCATTTTCAGTTCCGCAGCATTCTTTGCCATATCACTTTTGTAATCGGCATTTATTAGAGCTCCGTATCCACATTCAAAGCCGTCTCTGTTTTATCCAATGAAACCTGTTGTTGTTCTATATCCTCTGCTATAATATCAAACAATTTTGTAAATAACTTGTGAGCATGTTGTTCCCAAAAGAGCCTTAATTTCTTCTATAGTCAAAGAGTATTGCAGGATCCTGTCTGGGTCGGTCCCCAGGAACAGAGGTTTAGTTTTCCGAGCTTTTGGACTCATGCTGGAGCCCATCTTCAGAGAAACTCTCTCTAGCAGAGTGTGTGCTGTTCTGTGTGCAAAAACAACACAGAAAACAGCACACACTCTGCTTGTTCTGACCCAAATCTGGTTCCAAGAGAGCAAACACAAGACAAATGCAGCAGTATAACCTTTTTATGTTTAAGCTAAGAATCCTGTTTCTTCACAGATAAAAGGCTGCTTCCAACTAATTAGCTCTGACAAGAAAGAGCCTTGCCAAGTTTTTTCAAGTCTGCCAAAAAACAACAGATAAAAAATAGTTTACAAGAGTCTTCAAATACCAACTGTAATGTCCACGAGGCTGACTTCAAAACATCTTTGCCTTCTGCAAAGAAGGTTAGTTTCACAGCTGGCTTTTATCTTCTTGAAGGAGAGGCCATTACCTTGCAGCCTTACTCCCGAGTCACCCGTGCTGTTGTAACTGTTATTTCCTCCGAGCAATCCTGCGCTCATGCGCACTTGGCACAGGCTCCTTGGGAACCTCCTCATCGCTGCTGCCAGCCCTCACAATCTTTGAAGGCAGCAGTCCACTCCCTAATGGTCCTGGCCCCTCATCTGAGTCCTCGCTGTTCTCAGCCGTCTGCACCTGCTGCCGGCTACCCACAACACTGCTAGAGAGAATCTGTTCCCTGAAGATTGGCTCCAGCATGAGTCTGAAAGCTCAGAAGACAAAATTTCTGGTCCCTGTGACTAACCTAGATGGGATCCTGCAACATTATCCTGGGACACGTACATTTGCTTTCATTCATCAAACAGTATTGCTCCAGTGTTTTGTTGTTTTCTGGAAAAGTAAAGCTTTTCTTTTTAATCCTTAGACTTATTTATATTGGAGCTTCTTTCATCCAGGGTTTTCTCAGTGACATAATACAGCTTGCCCTTAAGAAGATAATAAGCAGTTTCCTAAAGTAGTTAAGAGAGGAAGTAGGTGAACCCAGTCATCTCTTTGCAAGGTACATAACCACATTAGTCAAGGTGAATAGTCCTTTGGCTCCCAGGTCTCTCAAACCTGCTGGAGAACGCTGTTTTGCAATCTCTTTGCAGAGAGATTTCTCTATGGAGCCAAACATGAGCAATCCTTGACTCTTCCTTAATCCAAAAAGGAATTTTGAGGAGCCAATTCATTCAACCAGCTCCTATTTTGACCATATTCATTGGCTTTGCAAAAAGATCCATGTTCAAGTCCTCCCTGGAAATCCATGGAAGTTCTATATCTGGCTTCATTTCCATTCTATTTCCAACTCACTGGTGACATTTGGTGACCAATAGTGACAAATCTCTCAATCAGCAAATCTCTGGGGCCAGTTAATCAGTCAATAAATCTCATCATAATCCTTTTCTGCCAGCAGATCTTTTAAATTTGGATCTGTTTTACTTATCTATTAAACAGATAATTTATATAGCCACCCAACTCTCACACAATGACAGGACTGAATTAATAATAATCTTAAGGAATATCATCAGATTGGACATTGAGTTATATTTTACAATACTACAAAAAATACTGATTTTGAAAATCATTATTTCAGATAGCATGGATGAGTAATCTTGCTGTTCAGCTTGAGTAAATAAAGTTTAATTTAAACATTTGTAAACGTTGGATTTTTTATGTTAGAAAAATCAGAGGAAAAGTAGAATCTCAGTATATTTTTATTTTCCATTTTAATGTTTGGCCTACATGGCATTATTATTATTATGGTTCATCGCACAGTCATCCAGATTAATATATTTTTATTCTGCTTCCCATATAATCACATATCATTGTGGCATACAATAAAATGTAATTGAAACAATATTAAAATAACTACATTCATTAAAAAGATGAAGGGGAGGAAAATAACCATTCATTTATGGAAGGCCTGGATGAACAGAAAAGTTTGTCTAATAGAAGGCCTAAGGAATTAGACATAGAAAGAAATATGAACCTTTTCAATATCATGAGAATATTCCACAGTGCTGGCTGCACCAAAATGGCATTTATATTAGTTTGTTGGCTAGTTATCTGGGTCATTGGCTTTATTAGAATATCAAGAGTTATCTTTACTCCATTTCCAGATATGTAAGAACACCTTTTGTTAAGATTGGAAACCAAGCACTCCATTTTATCTCTAAATCATTTTAAAGGAATTGCAAATGTTGCAAACTGTCAATACAGTTGTAAACTCTTGCATTGTTCATTCTGTTATTTTAATTCAGTTCCTAATCATACAGTCTTTAATAAATTATTGCCAAGTCAGATTGTGAAAGCTTGGAAGGCTATTTTCAAATCTAGTCTAAAAAGGGATGAATTTAAATTTCACCTGTTCTGTTTTTTTTGTTCTTAATATTTAGAAATTTACCTTTATGGGATCAGATGCATCTTTCACCAAAGGAGAGTGACACAGGACAAATCTGACCAAATGTGAATTAAAGCTGCTGTTGGGACCTATCTTATGATAATAAGGATGGTGAATCATCGATATTTCCCCATCCTTGTAGCATTCATAGATAGCTGCCCGGCAGCCTTATTTCAGACCGCCTGAGCCCACTTGGGAAGGGATGGCTCAGAGGTTTAATTTCAAAGTCATGCCTCGGAAGCTCCTGCCTCGGAAGCTCCGAGGAAGCTCTAGAGTTTGTGGGAATCTAGATGGGGATTAAGAGGATTTGACTCAAGACAAGTAAGATCTAGCAGTTTGGGATTATAGCCTCCATCTCTCCCCTCCAGTTCTGGGGACCATCCATTTCTGCATTGCCTCAAACAACTATCTGGGGGGTTCTTCTGGACTTGTAGTCAGGGGCAGCTATGGCCAGGCACAAGTTTCGTGTTGTAAGCCAGCTGCGTTTGTTCCTGGACTGGGAGGCTCTGCTCAAAAATCACCTCCTAAAATTTAGTCACATCCAGATTAGATTATTACACCATGCTTTACGTGAGGCTGTCCTTGAAGAGTATTTGAAAGTTTTAGCTGGTGCAAAATGCAGCGGCACAAGCATTCAGGACAAGTGACACCATCTCTGTTCCATGAACTGCATGGGTTTACCAGTGTCGTCATGGGTGGAATTCAATGTGCTGGTGGTTATCTTGGTTATCTGGTTACCTAAAGACCAGGTCGCTGATTACTCTCTCACCAGCATTGTCTACCTGTCCTTTTAGAACTGGGCGGATAAGTATCCAGATCCCACCTGTGAAGCTGTCACCTGCTGAGACCCAGGAAAAAAGTCTTTACTATCATGGTGCCCACCTTGAAAGTATTCTTCATCCCCCCCCCCCCCCCCCCCGAATGTATAATTGCCGTAATCATCCTGGATTTTTGCAAGGCACTAAAAACTTGGCTATGCCACCAAACCTGGGGTCCTGATTGTTGCTGTTATTATTATATACAGGTAGCCCTCGATTTACTACCACAATTGACCCCAAAATTTCTGTGGCTAAGCAAGACATTTGTTAAGTAAATTTTGCCCCATTTTACGATCTTTCTTGCCACAGTTGTTAAGTGAATCACAGCAGTTATTCAATTAGTAACACAGTTGTTAAGCGAATCTGGCTTCCTCATTGACTTTGCTTGTCAGAAGGTTGCAAAAGGTGATCACGTGACCCCGAGACACTGCAGCTGTCATAAATACGAGTCAGTTGCCAAACATCTGAATTTTGATCATGTGACCATAGGGACGCTGCATCGGTTAATAAATGTGAAAAACAGTCATAAGTCACTTTTGTAACTTGAATAGTCATTCAATGAACTGTTGTAAGTTGAGGACTACTTGCACATAAAAATATGAAATCACAGCTGCCAGTTTTTTAGCTGGTGTTGGCCTTCATAGACATCAGGTTCTTCCCAAGATGCTATGACATCATAATGTATCAGTGTTACATGTGTACGTAAATGTGCAAATTCAAGCAGTGTGGCCCTTCGTAATTGACAGATGGAAGTTTCATCAATGTGCAGATTTTCTAAATACCGATTCGGGGTTTTTTGAAATGGCACCCAGTGTGTCAATTACCAACGCGACTACCCTAGCCAGTTTATGCCATAACCTTCCAATTATTATTATTACCGGTATTATTATTTTGAGTTAGTCTTGATTCTTGGTGATTGCCTGGAGAAGTTTTTCAGTTTTCTTGGCAAGGGTTTTTGGAAGTGATTTGCCACTGCTTCTTTCCTAGTCCTGAGTGGTCACCCAGTTGGCTTCCTGCCTAATATGGGCAGCCTATATATTATATATATTATTATATATATTTATTAAATAAACAAAAAAAGGCAGAGGTTTTGATATTTCTTATGTCAGTTATTCAAACCTTTTGATGTAATAGTAATGAATTTAGAAATCAAGAAGTCATGATTCTTAATTTTAATTGCATCGTGGTTTCTGAAGTTTTATGTCCACATTGCCATTAAGATCTTATGCTTCCTTCCATTGCCATAATTTTTTAAAAATATTAATGGTTGCAGCATTTTTTTATTTCATAAAGAGTGGTATATCATATGCAACAAATATATACGTACTAAAATCATCCTACATTTTAAATTTATTCATCAAATTTATAGAGCTGCCTATCTAATGAGAAGTTACCCAGGGTGGCATACAACAGTCATGACTCTAGGATCGAATGAAGTCTGATCAAAGTACAAATAGAGCAATGGTTATGAAGTTAGTTAGAATATTGATCTGTCTGAGTAGGTTTATTGTGTAAAATAAGCTGTGTTTAAAGTAATATAAATATAGGAACCACATGAATTACGACCTCTGAGAAGAACTTCCAAAGTTTTTTTTTTATATATGTAGTCAATGATGTTTATTTATGTAAAGATGTGGATAAAATTTTTGTCCTGTAATTGTTCTGTCTCTCTCTCTCTCTTTTTTTTTTTTTTTGGAACAGGCTTTCGGATATATCGTGAATGAAAAGAAATAAGATTATTTCAGCTTTATTTGCCCTTCTCTAGCTTCAAGTCTGTTCTAAATATTGTTAGAAGCACATGAGGCCATGGCAGATGTTGATGTTCAACCATCCATACCAAAAAGGTGTGGCCCGTACATTTCTTCCATCACTAGCCACAGCCTGAACCTGGTCCTTCGTGGAATAGTCCTGTTCTTAATTGGAGTCTTTCTTGCATTAATATTAAACTTGCTTCAGATACAAAGAAATGTCACCTTATTTCCACCGGATGTGATTACAAGCATCTTTTCTTCAGCTTGGTGGGTACCCCTCGGATGCGGCACAGCATCAGGTATGTCAAAATAACGATGCTAAAAGACATTAAGAGAAAATGCTAGCTTAATCCAGGCCATGAAGAACTTCAGGCCTGTGGTTGGAATACATATTCTCTGCCAGGGGCCCCCTCCTTTCAGCATTAAATTTAGATACGCTTTGTGCCAGGTTAAGGGGGATGAGAGGTTTCTGTACTTCAATTATTATGGGATAGTTCATTTGGATTCCATCAATTCCATCTTTTTTTTTCTTAGCAGTCAAAATTAGCTAAAGACAAAAAGATGGAATTGTACAATGCCATTTATTGGTAGCATATTGGTCTCATCATCCAGGAAAAAGCCTGGATAAAGTAAAGCATTTTCACCTTATCCTTCTCAAAAAAAGAAAAGAGGGCCATATTTGATACTTTGATGAATTTGTTATGTAAGATTGTTTTAATTAGCAGAAGTGATTAATAGAAGATTCTACTGATTGCAAACCACTCAGAGTATTTCCCCGAGATTAGTTTACCAATTATTTATTTATCAAACTTTTTTTTCTTTACTAAATGTCTTTTTCAAAAGAAAGTATTTAGTGTCAAATGCTTTCCTTTTTGCTTCCTTTTCATTAAGTTAACGCACTATAGATAGAGTTCAAAGACTAACTTGAAAGAAATTGTCTGTGAAATCTGGCTTTATCATTTTTACATGTGTAGATTTGGAAATTATGTATGTATGTATGTATGGTACTCAGCTCTGTTCGGGTATTTTCCCATGTCATTGTAGTTGTGCTTTTAAAGTTGTAGCGACATTTCGGCAGAATCTCATCTGCCATCATCAGGCTTCTGTATTGTGTATCTGTACCATACAGATAAATACCATATATAGGGATTTGAATCTCTAAAATACCTATATGTCTCAGTTCCTTTTTCCCCCCAGTTCCTTTTTCCTGCAGTGAATCCAAGATTTTTGAATATGCTATACTGACTAGGATTAATTTTTAATATTTCCCCTAACTTTTGTCATTCTAAAGCAAAGGGTCCCAATTGTGTGTACGTTATCATTGTTATCAGTAGTTCTTCATTAGGTTTTTTTTAATACATTTTTCCAGAAAAACCCTAGAAGTTTTTCCTCTATTGCCATTCCAAGCATAGCATTCTGGAAATTAATGGTGGAAGTAGTTTGTGGTATTCTAAATAGTTACTTCTCATTTAGAAAATTCTGGAAAACCATCAGATCATTTAGAAATGGCATAGTCTAAGTAGTTTGGAGGAGAAATGGAATGTTACATTTTCCATATTCCTATTCTTCATCCTTGAAAAAGCTTTAAAAGATTTCTGAATCAGGTTGTCAGGCCCAATGACTTGCCTGTGTCATTTATTCTCACTGAACTCAGTCAAATTTACTCCACAGGTTCACTTTAAAAGGACTTAAACACATCAGAAAAGCAATTATACTGTAGATACCTTGTTACTTGTGTTTGTATTTTACAGCTGTAATTGGATTATTGTACCCTTGCATGGATAGACATCTGGGAGAACCTCATAAATTTAAGAGAGAATGGTCCAGTGTGATGAGATGCGTAGCAGTCTTTGTTGGCATAAATCATGCCAGTGCTGTATCCTTTTGCACAGTAATGAAGTTTGTCAATAACACATAAACTTCAGGCAGATCAAAAAATAAAACAGAGCAGCCCTCTTAATTTCATTAAGGTTGAATGCAAGGTCATTTCCCCATATGGCAATAAATGTATTACTATATTTACATTAGAGGAAGACCATTTACTCCCAGCCTGTGAATTAGGAAGGCACTGTTGGCAACAAATGAGTGGGATGGAGGTAAAGAGGATTGCAGATATGGTTGCTGAAAACTATGGTTGCCTTTCAAGATTCATTTTAGCTAATATATACATCTATGTATGCACAGTAAATGAAGATGTATGTATGTATGTATGTACTGGGTGCACACATTTGTAGGGAAGGAATCTCAAGGATTGCTTTTAACTAGAATTGGCAAACCTATGTTTTAAAAATGAGGAAAGTTTGGTTTTAAAATCAGAATTATGTTCATTTTGGGTAATTATAGCCATTACATTTCAGTTATTAATTCACTATTAAATAGTGTAGCACTATTTCAAATTGCTACTGTCTCTGATAATAAAAATAATGGAAGATCCATCTTGCCTAATGGCCATTAATACACTTTTCCTTTTAAGACCTTCCCAAGCTGGTTAACATATGTTAGGAAATTCCTTTTTTTACATATGCCACTTTCAGAGAATTTTTCTTAACATTTTTGAATCAGCATAGTAAAAATACAGTACAGGCTAAGATACATTGATCATAAAATAACCAGAAACACTCAAATGTAAGATTTAGAATTGTGAAGAAGCATGAATTTATACCCAGAAAAGGTATAAGGTTGGTATCCAGAGGAACTCAGTTTTACAAAACAAACACCAAACTTGGATAATTGCATGCTCACTTAAAAGAAAAAAAAAGATCTTTGGCATCATTGGACCCAACTTGAAAATGCTGTGAAGGTTGGTCTGGATGGGGATAATATTTAGCCTTGATCTGGGTCTCTTAGCCTAAAGAGCTGGCTGTCTCTTTAAAGTTAAAACAAACGACAGAATTGGTTTGCTGCCAGTCTTCTCAAAATATTCCTTAAACAGTCCAAACAGAAAGTGGATTTTGCCAACAACTTCCAGTTGTCTCTCACACTTGCTGCGCTTTCAGTGGGGCTGTGGTGGACTTTTGATAGATCTCGAAATGGTTTTGGACTTGGAATTGGAATTGCATTTTTAGCCACTTTGGTGACGCAGCTTCTGGTCTACAATGGAGTTTATCAGTAAGTATTTTATGCATATTAAACTCTTATTAATTTCATTTGGATTTTAAAGGCAGTGTCCGACAATGTTATAAATTTAAAAATGCCTTGCCTTATTACAGGGATAACATAACAAAATTTATTGGAACAAATGTGACCTAAGTGGCGTGTTATATTTATGGCAGGGAGAAGTTGACTGTATTGTTTATTTGTTGCCTTTGCATCTGCACGGCTTGATGCTTGGGTATGAAATTAACTTGTGCAATTAAATGCTAATAATTATGCTTCCCAGAATCAAGGTTGAAAGTAAAGCTCAGGTTTGCCTTGGAAGCTATAGGCAGGCCCATTCACATTGCCTCTGCTTCTCCTTCCTAATCAGCAATGTGAAGATTATTTTCAATATAATTCCAACCTTTCAGTTTCATGGTGCTAAGAATAAGGAACAAAAATAATTGTGGATCACTCCCCACCTCCCCTTGGCAAGGCTGCTATTGGTACTGCACTAAAAAAAACGCAAGAGGTTAATTAAATGAATTGTTTACAACCATTCACCCTCATCCATATTCCTACTTCATGTTTATCTAGTGATACATTAAATAAATAAAATCCAAGCCATTCGGAGGGGGGCACTGAAAAGTAATCAAGCTGCCTCTTTCTATTAAAAAAGTTTGATGCTGAAGAGCTCAGATCAAGCCCACGGGGAAGTGAATTGTCCACATGCTATATAGAGCCACACTTTTAAAGTAATTTTACTGTAGCTTCAAGTGCATCACAGTTGAAATAGAACTAAATCCATTTAACACTCTGCTTTTATATGGACTGTCCCCCTTTTTCCATAGATATTCTGAATTGGCCATTTAAATTCCCATTTTAGAATTTCTGACCAAGGTATAGTTATGCATGAAAGAGTTCTGCTTTTTAAAATTCTTTTTAATTTAATTAGTTACAAAGACCGTACAGCTAGCTAGCATCCATACCCCCCTTGGCCCCAGCAGTCTTTAGGTTTTTTACTGTCTCTTTCAAAATGAAAATCATACTTCAGACAAGGTGCCATTGTGATACTAATTAAAAAAAAATCTTTTTCTCCAGATACACATCTCCTGACTTCCTTTATGTCCGTTCCTGGTTGCCCTGTATATTCTTTGCTGGTGGAATAACTATGGGAAATATTGGCAGGCAGCTAGCAATGGTAAGCTAGCGATTCAATATTCTGTGTTTTTGCGGTATTCTTGTAAATAATTTAGTCTTTTTTTTTTTTGTCCTTGATTCCCCCCCCCCCCCTTGGAATATCCAAATAATTTTGACAACATTAAGGATATCACTAGCCAGTTCTCTTGATTTTGGCATGGGAATGGCATTAAACACACCAAAGAATTATTTGGAATATGATATTCTTCATTAATTCTTCAGTTTTAGAAGTCAGGATTCCCACAAATGAAAATAAAACAAATAGAGCTTGAATAACTTCTTATCTGTTTCCATCCAAGCATTTCAAGACACAGTCTTGATTCTCAGAAATATCCCCCAAACATAAAAATATGAACACTTGACAAATAAACTTGGAAGCATTCAGAGCCTTTAAAAAAATTATCCAATCTTTTATTGCTTTTAAAAAGTGACAAAAAAGGAAAAACCCACAAAAGTAAAAACATATAGGCAAAGACAAGGAAAAAAGACCACATACAATCTACTGTAAGCCTTCAATATTTGGATATGTCAACACAGTTTTTAAAAAAATGTGGGGGAAAAACTGGAAAAAATGTAATATATCATTTTAACAGTACATAATTACAATTCTATATAGTTATGCAATTATAGGGAAGCATTCAGAGCCTTTAACAAATAATCACGGTCTATTTTAAAGAGAAAGATGAAACTTAACGAGGCTAATTTTTGTGGCTCATCACCTGGACATCCTATCTGATGATAAAGATGCTCACTAATCCCACGGATGTATGTTTTAAAGCACAGGTGTCAAACTCACGTCACGTTTTCCCTTTGCAGAGCTGGGGTGGGCAAAGCCTGTGCGGGATGCATCCAGCCCTGGTCGCCAGTTTAACACCCCTGTTAAAGCCTGATTTCTGAGTAGGAAGGGAAGTATGTGGGAAGATCAGGCTGGCTTGCACCTCAAGAGAGAAGGTTGATTTCTCTACAGTTGCCATGACCTTGTCCTAATCATTTCAGTCCCTTGTCTTTGTAATTAATATTACCAGTAAATTAGAGTTTCCTATTTACGCTGCACCGGTTGATGTGAAGGAAGGAAAGAACCTAAATCTTCAGAGATAGTGGGTGGGAGTGGGGTAATGTAATCTGTCTTTGTTCTGGATTCTGGAGTTGCATGTTCATTAGACGTCAAACTACAAAAAGAGACTGGTCACTTTTTTCGTGCTTTCTTCCTAGTTGCATTTTGGATGAGATATGAAAGCTGCAATGACATCGAAATATTGAAGGCTTATAATAGATTTCATTAGGATCTAATGGTTGATCCCTGCCTACCTCTGCCCATTCATGTAATCCAAATTCACATGGTTTGCATACTATATTTCCAGATGGCAGTTCTGAGGATTAGTAGGATAAAATAGCTTTCTGGGGAGAAGAAAGCTCCTTTGTTGAATCTACCCATTTGCTTTTTTCTCTGGTCTTTCTCAGCTGTACATTTTTATTTATTTGCGCAGATCGGCTACTTACACCTAACTTCGGTTTGTCTTCCAGTATGAATGTAAAGTTATTACGGAAAAGTCTCATCAAGACTGACTAGAAGAAAAATACTTTTCTCATGGGAGGAGGAAGAGCAGACTGAGAAGAACACAAAGTAGAGAGAACTCGATTATACAATTGCCAAAAAAAGAAAAGCAATCTCCCTCTCTCGTTTCTTCTTCTCTTGTCCCTGGTTGTGTCTCTGGCCTGGTCTACTCGCAAAGGCACTATTTACTGCAATCTGTGATTGCTGAATTTCTAAGTCACTTAAAAAATCCTGGCATCTCGGGAACATGATCTGTGCGAAATGGTGCTTCAGCGCAACCCGCTGGAGAAAGTATTGGCTTCTGAGTTAGGATCCTTTGTTTATCTGAACTAGGCTAGGCTTGTCCCTTTTCTTCCCCAATAAGGTTCTTGTGCCAAACCAAGCTTACAACAAAGCATCACCCTCTCCTGGCTGCATTACTTTTTACTTTCTTTGGCCAATTTTGAGAGCGGTAGTATTCTTAGAGTGTTGCTGTTTTATTATACCTCATGTCAGAGGGTTAAAGGGCCCCCAAAGAGACTAAATGGAATTAGCATCAAAAGTATAATCAGTGCTGTGACTTCTCTTGGTAAAAAAGGTAAACGAATCTACAGAATAGCTGCGCATGAAGCAAACATGAATTTTCTGTTTTGTATCAAGAGTTGATGGCATAGTTGAATGCAAATGCACTATTTGCAATACAAATGGGTAGTACTGCTACTGCACTCTCTGTGTCTATACCTGTAGTGTGCTGAGTGTGGGACCACTCTGTAAATAGATACATCCTGTTGTAGGACTTTTCATCGCATAGCAGCAGCAATAGAGCTGTTTGTTGAGATGTGATTCACGCTAAATAGTAATATTGAGGCTATCCATAAACAAGACATTTACAGTTGGTAGTTTAGTTCTGGAAATAGGAAAATCCAACCTTTTAAAAAAGTATGGTTAGATGAACTTCAATGTAGTAATTGCAAGTACTGTACCTCTCTCACTTTGTATAGTAAAACATGGGTATCTGTCTGCATTCTGATCATAGGAGCTGTAAATGTTCCTTTACAGAGATTCCAACGAAATAAATTCATGTTATTGCTCTTATAGAAATGTCATATGACAAGGTGAATTCTAACAAAAGAGAGGCACAGCTGAAGACATTATTATGGTACTGCATCAGTAGAGCTGATCCTTGGGTCTGGTAAATGGGAGAAAGGAAAAAGAAACTTTCATATAATACCATTTTAAATCATTTGATTCAATTGCCTCTATAATCTGTGAATAAAGTGAAAAGCTGCTGGTGTTGTTTTTTTTAAATTATATTCAGTGCAAGTTTAAAAAAAATACAGCCACTCAAAAGAGGCTGATGTTGGTCCAAAGAAAAATGTGTGTGTATATAAAAATATATGTAATTTTATTTTTCTTTAATATATTCATAAAAATGTAGAATGGGAAAACTAAGATTTTTAAAGATTTGCACGCTCATACATGAAGAATATGCAATGAGAGCCTGGGGAAAAATAAACCAAGCTTTTGAAAGGAAAATGTGCAATCAATAAGTCTTAGAAAAATAGCAAAAAATATGCAAAAGAGCAGTAGCTTTAATTTATGACTAGCTCTTGCAAATTCACACTATTGCACTACAGGGTCTTTAACATGGTTGTGATGTTATCAGACTGAATATTAGAAAACACTGAGTGTTAGTGCACCTCCTTATATACCTTTCCCCACATGAAATCTACAGCGAAACAAATAATTCATAAGTTTTAATTTTAAGACATCTCTTACAACAGCATAAATGTCTCTGAGGTGGCTTAAGATTAAGAGATCTGGTCCTTATTCAGTTTATCTGTGATTCTGCTGAATCCAGTTATTCAAATTTGTCACCAGAGCTTATTAAAATGGTGATAGGAATCATTTGAAGGTTTAAATATGACAACCTGGCTCTCGCCATATAGTCTAATTGTTGAATTGGAGTGTTGCTATAAGAAAATGCAATGTGCGTGGCTTTGAATAGAGCTGCATCATAATTTTTAGTTGTATGGCCTAACACATAGGTAGTACACATGTTTTTGAAATAAGATCTTTACTTTGCTTTTGTAGTTTTATGGGCAGATTTTGAAGGATAAGGCTGCCTTAAAGACAGAATAATGGTTTTCCACAAGGTTTACTAAATCTAATTGCAGGTAATAGGGACATTTGGCTCAATCTATGGGTGTAATGACTGATTGCCAATGAGGACTATTCTGTAAAAGGTATTGGTCTAAGTTGTAATACCTCTTTATTATCTTGCTAAGAAGTCCAGAATACTGTAGTTCACAGGCTTTGGTAAACTTTAAAAACATGAAGTCATGTCTCATTGCATATTGTCCTAAAGACAGATATCACCGTTTTCATATTAGCTTATTTAGTAAGCATCATAATTGCTGAATATATACAGAATTTGAAATTGCCACTTGAATTTTTTTTTTTGACTAGCACTTCTGATATGGAGCAAATTACTCAACTTTCCAAGGTCATTTTGATAGGCCACTATTATCTCTTAAATGTTTCTATTGAACAAAATTCATATTGTTTCTCTGTATTACCAGCCGGTACTGAATTATGAGAGGAGAGGTTTGTGATGAGAATGCCTTAATTACAATTGGGGGGGGGGGGAGCAACTGCTGTATGATGTGTAACTATAATAATACATTGTCTTCAATATGCTCTACAGAGGATGAATAAGGTATATTTTAGATACAACTTTGTAAGCACTATAAACTCTTCACTAGTTGTGAACAAGTTGTTAATGTTTACTTCTTCAGGTTGCTGTTAAAAGCAAAATGTGTATTAAATAAAATTATAGTCTTGAAAACTTAGTTTCTTTTTCATTTTCTAAGAAGCAATAATTCAATAATATATAATTGTATGGTGATGATTCTCTTTCAGATATTAAATTAGAATGTTGGCTCTTGAGCTAGGATAATAATTACAGAACATCTAGAAAATTAACATAAACTTCCCCAGTCATTAGGAAACACAAATCAGCAATTGCATGATGTCAGTACAATTGCAGATTGATTTGGGGTTTTAGACCCAAACCTTCCAGTTCTGGTTAGAACACTGGAATGAGAGTATCATGTAAAATAAAATTTAAAAAGAGATTCCCCCCTTCTTTCTTTCTAAAAAAGCAGCAAGAGAATTATCTCTGATAGCATTTTTTTAGAGTGCGGTTTGCTGTTCTGCTGGCTGAAGAATTGCTATAATTTTGAAACTGAAATAAAGACATTGAAGATTTGTTGTATAAACCTTCCTACTTCTCCATACTATTTCAGGATCTTGGGGTATGATTCATCCACAATTAACATTATCAATTAAGCTAAAACATTAGTGAATATTGTACAAATACCATAAAGTCAATATATGTCACGATAGATTTATAGTTGCATTAAAGTAATACTAACACAAATATAACATCCGACATCTATAATACGACACTGCCATCTGACTTTATTGATAAGGTTCATAAGATAGCTATATCATCTAATTTTACTAGTTGCTATTCTCAACAGCTATTCACAGTTCCTTCCACCCATCAAGTTATTAAATATCACAGAAGAAGAAAAACCCTATAATCATGATTACAGATTCTGAAATACAAGTTCTGATTACCTTGAAGTATCATACTATAAGGGGGTCATGGTGGAAAGGGGTCATGGGAATAGACCTATTAAGGAACCAAAAGGATTCAATAGGTCATGAATGCCATATAGCCATATTTAAATTGTGTTCCTCTGCAGCCGTATATTCTGGTGACAAGGATACCTAATACTATAAAGTCATGAATTCTCAGAGGTAGAAGCTGTTCATAAAGTTTTCCTCATGAAACTTCTACTGAGTTGGAGATAGTGTGTAATAAATTATGGTCAAGGAAGAGGAATCATCTCTTGGGATCAGAGAATCTGGCCTGTAGCTATTAGCAAAGAAATATTTCTTAGCATTACTCTGTGGTATTTTTTACGATGCTTTTGGGGGGGATGTTTACTCTAAAAATAGAGTAATAATTAAGATGTTTCACACACCTGTTCACACCATAGAAGGAATTACAGAATTTATGAAAATGCTTTTGTCTGTTGAACCGACTTAAAATTTGAGGCAAACATTTGGAAATTTAAAGGAAGTGCAAAGATGCCCAAAGTTTGTACCCAAAGAAATATAAAGTGGAGTAATCTTGAACCACAAACTGGGGAGTGGATAAAAGAGCTTTATTAAACTGGGTGAGGGGCTGGAACAAAAAGCACATTTTATTAGCTTGACTATATTCTGTTCGATTGTTGACAGCTGCCAAAGTCACTGGGAGTCAGGGGGTTTACAAATTTGAATAATAATAAAATAATGAACAATCATCAATTGCAAAAGGCAGCTTTACATCCTGTGACAGTAACTTTAACACCATCAATTAACAATGTCTGCTTATTCGAGGTCCTTGATAAGGACTTGATAGGTGGATAAAAAAATGCCAAATTTGGTCTGACCATCTGGCTGACTGTGTGACCAGCCAAACAATTATTTAATAAATACACTCTGCATTTCCTTCTGAACTCACATTGAACTTTAGAATTTTTAAATTTACACATACAATTTGGTTGGCTGGCAACCCTTGGAATCAGGTTCAGGGCCCAAGATTTGGGGATGACTCCATGTGCCTTGGGATAGCAGACTGTAATTCAATCAATCATTTCGTATTCTGACAATGCAGGGTTTCTGACACAGGCGTATGCACACACAAGTTAGGATTATAACAATTAAAACAATACTTGTAACTGGCTTTTAGCAGCATCTACCTCTCTTCTGGAACTATACTGGCCCCTGGACAAAATTTTGAATCAATTTCTTAACTATTGTTTCCAAGTTTTCTTAAAACCAAATCAAACAAGTCATCAAATCCTGATGTATTTTTATTTTGCATAAGGTGTAGAAAAAAAAGCTCTGTTGCCTTTTATTCCATTAACAGAATATACACTTGCGAGGGGGAAGGAATTTTGAGGAACAAATGGTGAAAACCAAAAAGGATCCGGTCAGTCATTATTGATGATCTTCTAATGTAAATATCATATCTCTTTTTATTGAAAAAAAAGTTATGCAAGTGAACTTCCACTCCAAAATTTTAGGATTTCCCTCCCTAAATCTGAATTATTTCTGGATTTTTCTGTTTTATTTTGACGATAGTGGGGAACATTGGTTCTTTCCAGCTTGGATTCCTTTTAACAGGATTTCTAAAAAACCCATATGAGTCCAGGCTTGTGTGTGTGTGGGGGGGGGGGGGAGCAGTTTTCTTTAGAAAATTAAAAACAGTATAAAGCAAGTTGAATTAATTTATAGGGCTGCCCAGGGTTTTGAAGTAGGGCTTTGATTGGACAAAACTGGGAATGAATCCTCATTCTGAAGGAGCTTCGCCAAGTGAGAAGCTTTGAAGTGCTGAATAGAATTAAGTGGCTTGAAAGTCTTTCATAATGCCTTACAGATTGTGACTTTTTTTTTATACTCCCCTACACAATATATAATATTACAACCTCACTTCTCAGTATAGAAAATAGTGGTAAGGGTGGTGGTGGGGGCAGTGGGTTCTTTGATACTGATAAGAATAAGACAGTGAATTTTGTCATCACATTAAAATTTCTGTCTATCGGAATCCTCGGGGATGGTGGGAGGAGGCAAAGTGAACACGACTTTGTTCATTATTTTTTCATCTCTCCACTTCTTTAATGTAGCCAGCCCAAAGTTTTATGCTGTCACTCTCTTGAGCTAATAGGACATTATATGTTCCTGTCCACCAAGCTCAGTTCAGCTCTCAATACCCAGAATATGATGCGTAAGCAGAGGTGGGTATTCAGCAGGTTCTGACCAGTTCTGGAGAACCGGTAGCGGAAATTTTGAGTAGTTCGGAGAACCAGCAAATCCCACCTCTGAATGGAGATTTTACAATATCCTTCCCCTGCCACGCCCACAGAACTGGTAGTTAAAAAAAAAATTGAATCCCACCACTGAGTGTAAGTCCAAGATGCTTCTTTTCAATCCAACCCCAACTTTGAATTCTGAAATTCAAGGGACGGATTACATTTCCTGACCATTAGACTAACACAACCATGGGCCTACATACTGTTTTTATGAATAGGAGGTGGCAAGTCTGTAAATTGTCATGGTTCAGGACTCGGATTCTGAAA